GCAAGTGCTAAGCTTTCGTCCGTCATACGACGGACATCATCCGAGGGATGATGTCAAGAAAAATCACCGGAAAATCCCTAAAAATTGGTATATATACTCTACATCTGGCTTCTTTGATCAAGTATAAACCGAGCAACGTCCCGTTTTCAAACGTTAGCCTGCAGCACAATGTACTCAAATTAAAGTCAACCCAGCGTCAACCACTCTATGATCCTCGACTCATAAATTTTTCGGATTGCACTTTCGGCCGTCAAGGCTACAGCCGACATTAGCCGACCAGTCAGATTCCTCAGCTGTGTGGCTTTTGCACACTCGCACAGTTATGTGAATAAATCATCAGATTACGTTTTCCCTATTCAGTAGTACCAGTCGCATGTAGTTTGGCAGCGTTCTAATCTATAGGCAAGCTGGACAGAAGAGGAAGCCAGCCTAGCAACCGTCACTCCAACGCTAGACAGGGTGGGCCCTTTAAAGTGTACCTAAAACCGAGTTGCTGACTGCAAAGAGTAAACTTAAAGCCGCTTTTAAGAGTAGAAAGCCGTCTCGGCCAGGTAAAGGGCCTTTATGTATGTAGATATATACATTTTATTTGAAGTGATATTTTTTATATTTATTCATTTATTTATATTCCATAACTATGACGTGTACAAGTATATATACCAAAAAATGTTGACTACTATTAGCATCATTAGTACAATATTTTCTTGGCTAATCTGAAGCAGACACTGTCTTTCGGAGCTGAGTCTAGAATACAAGAAATCTTGCCATTTGGACATATTCTATGCTTTGATGTTATCACTTCTTCTGCTACAGGATCATGCGAGGATGACGAACTATTCCTGGAAGGCGGAATAACGAAAAAATGTGAAGTTGGCCCTGACGACTCTTGCAACAACGGAATTCGAAGATGCCAGCAGGTAATGTTCACAATCAATTCTCCCCTTAATTAGCAAAAAATCTTTTTTCTCACCTCTGTTCTGCCAAAACACACGCTTTCTCAATCGGCCTGAACCTTTCGCCTGTTTATATTTTCCATGAGCCAATCAAGCTCAAATTTCAGGCTTTGCAACAACAAGGACCCATGATAGTTACCAGAAGAGGCCTCCACACTTGTCTATGACTCAAATTAGCATTCACAGCCACTTGAAAATGACAAAAACTTGGCCAGCCGAAGCAACTTGAGGTGGTTTAACGACGAATAGCTGAATTTTCCCACAATCAGATGGGTTGGCCTCAGGGTACCATTAAATGTCCCTAGGGTCTACCT